CCAGTAACAGCGTCCAGTCAGACTCTCTGAACACAGAACCTGAGGCTCATCAAATCTGTCCGGATGATCAGGATATAACTGTGGCTCAGAGACACACGTCACCTTTCTGTTGTCCTCAGACAGAACGAGTCGAGTGTTTGCTGTGTTTGGATCCAGTGCGAGATCACAGGCGTCTGAACACAACACACACATTACAACACACACATTTACAACTAAACTACAAACAAGAAAACTCTGTCTGATTGAGGACTTACATTTGTGGAGTCCTGCTGTGATCCTGAACTCTCCTCCATGATCCACACTAGAAACACACACACACACACACACAGTGATATTTCACTATAAAAGTGTCCTCATAAATACACTTATACACACACGGTTACATATTGTGTTTAATGAAGTGTGTGTTGTTTTGTATCTGCTGCTGTGTTTCTGAATATGTCTGTATCCAGGAGAAGACGTGGTCTACAATCAACAGAGATCTGATCCTGATTGGTTCAGTCCTGTCTCTGGTTACAGTAATAAAGACCACCTCAAACGAATGAGTGTCATTATCTTCAGCTGTCTTGTTCTCTTGTGATTGTGTCTTCTTTTGAGAAACTCGATCTGTTAGTCCTACTATACGATTCTTAGATTGTGAATTTGGATTTGTTTGCCTTCGATTGTAGAAATTATGTAAATATTAAGGAAGTAGGGAGTGTGACACTATTTCTTTTGTACATATCGTTCTGTTTTGGGTTAAAGGAGTTAGAGAAGTATCACTGTATTTTCTTTTGATGTGTTTTTCTTTCGTTTAGGTCATTTAGAGGGTTTCAGTTTAGCTATTTTTGTCTGTTATTTTGGCCTGGTCTATTCCTGAAGTCAATCCCTTCATTTCTGGATTTCTTTGTTGTGTTATAAATAGATCTGTTGTCTGCTTGACATTGACTCATGAGTGAGCTTCCTCTGTTTATGTTCTGCACACATGAATTGTACAGGTTTGTCTGCTCATAAAGCACATATGCCAGATCTCTCTCACACACACCTGTATAACCGATGACAGACGACGAGGGGTTTGAGAAAATGTTTGTAAACCGTTATTATTTTTGCTAAAACGACCAAAACTCTTCACACACGTCTCAAATCAAGCCCAAAACACCAGCAAAGCTTGTAACCCAACAAACACACTTTGTCACTCATAAAGTGTGTGCTCTGTCTGAGATGGTTTAAGTGCACACACCTGAAACACACACACATAAAGCTGCTTCACTCAGTGTGTGAGTCCTGAGCTGAGCTCTTGTGTGTGTGTGCGCTCAAATACACTTATGTATCAAAATGCCCGTCTTCGCTAGTATCCTCATAAACAGTCCTTTATGTCTACTTGTCTATATTTTTTTGATATTGAAATTGATGACAAAAATTCTGATATCATAAAAAACTAAAGCAAAAATAACTATAGCTATATTAAATAACTATATTGATAGTTAATGCTAGCCACTCAGCATTTTCACTGGCCACAATTTTGTTGTTGGGAAATTACGTTTTATATGACTCAGTTTTTTTCAACCGCTTACACACAAAATCTTCACTTCTCACACAATTTCTGAAAGCTGACACTCAAACTCCAGAAGCACACACCAAATCTGCAAAACCATACGCTATTTCTCAGCCTTTGACTCAGTTTTCAACTTCATAAAACACTTTTTTGCAAAACACAACACACAATTCTCTATGTAACTCACAAACATCTAACAGGAATTAATATTATGGCAAAGGTGTTTGCGAATGTTTGCTTCCGAGATGTGTTTGTGATATTTTGAATGCAGTGCTTCAATTTGCAAGAGATGTGAGGCATTTTGCATTTTGTGTGTGCAATTATTGGATTTGTGTGTAAAGTTATGAAAAAAAGAGGCAAAGTTTTGAAAATGTGTTGAAAAAAACCCCATTTATTTTCAACAAGCAGTTGAAAAAAACTAATACTGCATACAAAAATGTATTTAAATTGATTTCCAGGTCATTTTTGGCCTATTTAAAGGGCATTTTCCCTAACCGTATTAAATGCATGCATCATCTTTCATATTAATCATTACATGTTGTTAATAATTTCACTTAATATAATAAGACAATATAGGGCTGTTTTTTTATAAAAAAAAATTTAATACACAAATATGAAATGTTTTTAAAAAATGCAAAGATAAGCTAGTATGAGAGTTAGCCGCCAGTAGGTGGCAGCAAGTGACTGTCTTAATTAATTCCTTAATTAATTAAGCTTGCCTTCAAACGATTCGTTCAGACGGCTGATTCATTCAAGAACGAAGCAAGTGCGTGCCTGCGTCCCAATGTGCATACTATACATCCTAAATTCTGTGAAATTATGTGATATTAGTAATTTTCAATACTATTTAGGGCAGATAGGGTGTTACAAGTATGCACATTTCCTACCTTATTTGTAAATTAAATTCATCTCCAATCCTTCTT